GCTCAGCCGCGCAGCTCTGCGGCCTGATGATATGGATGTTAGCGAGATCTAAGAAGGAGAAAGCAGGTCCCTTCTTCGGCCGACGCCTTCTCTTCAGGGCAGTCCCTTTAACGTCAGAGACCGGTTTCGGGCAAGGGATGGCGGCAGAGGTAGATACCCCGTCCATGGCGCGAGAGACACCTACGTCCTCGCCCTCAGATGAGGAGGCGACCTCTTAGTCCGCATTCTTATCGTCCTCCGGCTCCCCTGATTTGAAGGAGCTCAAGTCCTCTATCTCCTCGCAGAACTCTTCCACTACTCCATAATCCAGGGACTTGGCGGAGGCCTCGTCGTCATATGGATAGTCCTCTTCGTCCAAGGTCTTCATCTTAACAACTAAAGATGCCCTAAAGGAAACTACTTTGGATCTAAGGTTGATTTTTCACTAACACTAGATCAAGGCCCTAGGGAAGCAAAACATGCGAGAAATCGGAGAAGGGTTTGATGAACTGACCTTTGAAGTTTTGAAGAAACGGAAGAACACCGGCGAGCACTTTATGTCTCTAGAAATTTGGGCAGCACTTCGTTCTCTGAGAATGCAATAGGGAGTTTCTTCGGATGGAGGGGGGTATTTATAGACCTCCCCCCCAACGGTCACTACACGTGGCGCTCCCCCATTGGCCACGTGAACGGCCACCACTCCCAAGGCCCAACAAACTACCACCGGTTCAGTAGATCGGCCAGGCCCACTTCCATCAGTACCGGTCCATTGCCAACATGCCGGCAACCAGCGTCCATAACTGCCAAAACCTTCAGCGGCCAGACCAAGAAGAAACATCTGACTCCACAGGGCACAACTACATCGTCCTCAACAGCCAACAATCATTTCAACAGCTGGTCACACCACAAAGTATGCCCATATCAACCAAAACACACTACCAACAACATGACCCCTTCAACGGTCATGTCCAAGGGGGGTATTTATAGACCTCCCACAACAACAAAGCAAAAAACAATCCAACAGCCACCGGCCTTGTATAAACCCCATAATGATAACTTCTTGAAAGCGACCTACGTCCAAGGGTTCTCCCACAGGGTTACCTTGGTCAGGAATCGCCAAGGGGTTGAACCGGGGAATACAAGGATCCCGCTTTGGCCTAGGGTTACACCTTACTCTTTCACCCCTCGCTTACTCTTCGGCCTGAAGCAGTGGGGGACTGGGGGACTACACCGGCCTCTGGAATACAAGAGAGGACAAAACCAAAAAATCCAAAAATACACCAAGTCCACAACTACAACATTAGATCATATATGCACCATGACGTCCATAACCTCGTGGTGCACCTTCGGCCACAACGAAGTCAACAAACAAAGAACTCTCCCCCCAAAATGTAACACGTATCGCCCCTGGACGCGCGCCATCCAACGGCTTTGAGATCACACACTCCACTCTCGGCCAAGGAATGAAAACAGGAACCCAACGTCCCCGGGTCACCATCATCCATGAGATTAGAGTACGCACTACTTATTCCGGATCAGTAACGCTATCGTCCTCAAAGATGGACACCAAACTACGAATACCACCGCTTCGGTCTGTGGCACAAAAGCAATCATTTGGCCTCCTCAGCCAAGACACCAAAAGCAACCGCCAACGACTAGAAAGAAGAAACATCACCCGCATGAGATCAAGAGCACATATCGGCCACTGAGCCAGGGCACTCATCGTCCTCAAACAAACTTACCCCATCAGAGGAACATCAGCCTTCTTCGTCCACAACGAAAGGCATATAATGGCCAAACACGAAGAACCAACAGGAAATGGCCACAACGGCCATAACGGCCATAAGACATCAAAACTATGGAATCTACTCTCCCTCACTTCGTCTACATCTCAGCTCAGAGAGTGGAGGACTCCTGATGGAGCATATGGGCCTGGACCCCAGGACCCACATACTCAGAAGAATGAGAGGCACAACTGTCACCCAGTGGGGCCTCCGTCAGCCAGATGGCCCTGCATCGGCCAGAAAGATATCAACTCAGAACATGGTCCATAAGCCAGAAGAACCGGGTGACCCCGTCGACCGGGGCTCCGTCGGCCACAAAGGGCTCCCAGAACCGGACTTCACACTTAATTATTTCTACATATTTTGTACTCTGTCCAATAGTGGCCCAATTGTAAATGGGCCTCCCAAGCCCAAGACTTCGGAGCCCAACCCCAATTTCCTCTATAAATACTCCCCTTGGGAGTAGTTGTAGGGGGTTCACAAATCATTTATTACAAGGAGTTATTGCACTTCTCTCTCTAGCTCTCACTTCTCTCTAGGAGTTAATACTCCATCAGGGCCTCTGCAAGTACCGGGGACAGAGCCACACTCTCTATCTGTCAGATTGGGATTATAATCCAATTTACATCCTCCCAACGTACCGTTCGGTCGGGATTGGAGGGCTCTCAGGGATGGGGTGTCATCCTTTTTTTTAAAAAGTATACGAGGAGAGAAAAGCAGACAAGCCTAGCATTCATCGGCTAGGGTGAGTTTTGGGCGGATCGGTGACGCCATGTGCTAACAATATGGAATCGGAAGGTTATGCGACGGTAAGGTAGCTGTTGTACGAGGACATGTTTGATTTAATAATGTGTACGACCTATAATATAAATGTCAGTTTCAGTAAAAAAAACTTAATCTAGCCTATTTTTAGACTATATAGCCATTTCTCTCCAGATTGAAATACATAAAAACTACTCCTTTTCCTTTTTTGGACGTCCCGTTAGAAGGTTGCATTTCCATTTTAAGAAACATTTAACAATCTTAAGTAACAAATTAATCATTAAATATTAAAAATAATACATTTATAACATCACAGTTATCAATACTAACTACATTAGAATATATACCTATTAAAATTATTTCTCAAAATATACTCGAAATACTTTATTTAATTATTGTCTAAATAACCGTGCCGTTTTGGTATGGGAACCTTCCAACGGGACAGAGGGAGTAGTACGTACGTATAATGGATCAAGTATAAATAAAAAATTTAAACATACTTCTAAAGTTTACTTTCATACATTACATATATGATTTTACATTTGTATTTTATATCTTTTAATTTGTATACTACTACCTCCGTCCCGCAATATTTTTCTCAGTTCCTATTCACTTGGTCAATACAAATCACTCTTAATCTTTTACTTTATATATCAATTTTTTATCAAATTTGATTATAGTTTTTGCGACTTTGTAAAGATTTTAATGTATTTTCTGAATTTGTAATTTTTTTTCAAAAAAAGAATTTGAGTGCGGACAGAGATCCGCTTGCTTTATCGTCGGTCAAGCATCACAAAACGCAACGAGACCATAATAGTGGGACGGAGGGAATAGGTATTACTTCGTATATTCTTAATTCAGAATATTCCCTTATGTTTTACCGAGTATGTTTTTATTTCGGGATGGAAGGTGGAACATTTGTTCTTTAAATTATACTCCCTCCGGTTCTCAAAGAGCTTCACAGTTGACTTCACACAGATTAAGAAAATAAATTTGACTTTACTATGGAGTGCACTGTTTAGCACTGTTTGGACACTATTTGACACTGTTTGGCATTGTTTGACACTGTTTTGCGCGGTTTTGGTGTAGATAATTTGCCAAATAAAGAAGTAAGAAGAAGTGTGAAGTTAATTTCGGGACTTCCCGGAAAGGAAAGTGGGAAGTTGTTTGAGAACCGAAGGGAGTACTTCATATTTATCTAACTCTACTAAGTATGTAGATTCATTTCAATACAATGCATACTTGTAAAAAATTGATGGTAACCGAACTGGAACCCAAACTGGCCAAGGAGTGGCCCAGAACCGGTCTAGCCAGGTGTCCATCTCCGTTCACCCTAAGTCCATATCCCCGACCAAGCACCGGTCAGTCCAGGACCAAAATCAAACCTGAGCAGGGGCGGAGCTAGACTTTAGGGTAAGGGGGGTCAGAATTTTTTATATAATATATATCTATTTATTAATTTGGGGGGGGGGGGGGGGGGCAAAAAAAAATTTTTAAGGTAAAATTAATTAAAAAAAAATGGGGGGGGGGGGGGGGGGGGGGATGGCCCCCCTGGGGTTACATGTAGCTCCGCCCCTGAACCTGAGTATTCGTGCTGACAATCAAAGAAATATGGAATGGAGTATGAAAGGTACTCCCTTCGTCCCTAATAACTTTGTCAAGTTTGACCGACACAAGGATTAATAAAGTAAAAACTGCGTGGTTGAAGTTTGTGCAGAGGAGAGAGAATTAACTGAAAAAACAATTTTTTTACTTAAAAGGGAAAGAGACAAAGTTAATATGACATCCAAGAAAAGAAAGTTGGTAAAATTATAAGGGACGAAGGGAGTACATTATAATGATCAGGTGAATCTAAATAGTTTTGTATTAAAAGCAGAAAGTGTAATTGATGAAACTTGGTATTCAATTGATTGACCAAGAGAAAAGTAAATATAAAAAATCTATTTGTACCCACTTTTATATCCACTTTTATACCCACCCCCTATTTTGCCTGTGCACACAGATAATTCGTTAAAAAGAAGAGAACATTTTGTCTGTATTTGTTTGTGTACACCGATAAAATAAGGGAATGAGTACAAATGTGTGTACAAAAGTGAATACAACAAGAAAAGAACTAGTCAAGTAAATATGGCGAAATTTGATGACATGGATAGAGAATAAATTTTAATTGCGGATTGGCATTATTAGTTGCAAGCAGACAGGCGCAAGTCCGGCAATTGAACAAAGACAATGGAATAGGGCGCCACAATTATGGGCAGCTTGGAGGGGACAGTTTCCGGGTCGAATTTATTCGGGACTCCGGTCAGTTCTCTCCTGTTTAGATGCACTGTTCGGCTGCTTAAATCTCCAGCCGTCAAGTGATACTCTTGTCTGGTTGTATTTCCATGCCCGGCCGGCCAAGGGCATTCATACGTCGTCTTATTCTTGCCTGAGCACTTCATTGATAATGCGTCAATTGTGACTGTGGTGCTGTTGTCTAAGTTCATCAGCAACATCGTTACTCCTTTCTGCATATATGCAAAAACATCCCATAGGAATATGTATGTATGTATCTATGCAACATGGTAAATGTCTCATTTTACCATATTGGGATGTCCCTATTTAATTGTCCCATACCTTATTTGGTAAAATTGTGTGGCTCAAAATCATTCTTACTTTATTCTTACTTTATTCTTACTTTATCTATTAATATCAACCACACAAACCTACTTTTCTTAAAACTCGTGCCACCCTCTTCCGGGACATTTAAAAGGGGACGGAGGGAGTATAATAGAAGTGAAAAAGTTCGAAAATTTTAAAATGTGATTGTCACCTTTTTATTCTCAAAATAACATTAATTAGAAATTACTATCATGTTTGAAATATATTGTAATGTTTAAAGTCTGATACTACCAAAAATTTGACAGTAATTACTAATTAGTCTTATTTGGAAGTAAAACATGATATTCCTACTTACAGTTTTAGTCCTACTCAGGGGCGGATGTACTTGAGGGCAGGGGTGGGTTTCAGTCCAGCCCAAATTTTTTTAGTTAGTATAGGTATATGTTATTTTCTGAGCCCACCTCAAAATTAATTCTCAGCCCAGTCCAAAGTTAACTCTCAGCCCAACGCTCCAGCCCACATCCCAACCTTACCTGGGCTTCTCGATCAACATCCCTTCCTTACGCACGCAAATTAGAGCGGGTTTAATGCACCAAACCCACTAATGAAATATAAATTCGGCGCATCAGCTCCATGTGGTTTAAAAAATGCATCAAACCCCATGTGTTATCGTTAATCATGCGCCAAACCCCCTCCAAGAACAAATTTAATTTCAAAAAAGATGAAAAATGATTAGTTTTTTTGTATAATTTAGAAATTTTGACAAAGTTACTTGCATATTCAACCATATTATTAAAAAAAGTGATTTCGAAATTGTAAAATTTGTTCTTGAAGAGAATTTTGCGCACGATTAATTAAAATACAGGGGGGTTTAACGTCTTTTTTAAATGACAAGGAGCTATTGCGTCAAATTTATATTTCACCGGGGTTTAATTTAGAGCTACCTGCTGCGAACAATTGAGGACATGCGAACTGCGAAGGAGCTGCGAAGTGAACCGGCGAGGAAGACCGAAGACGTGCATATCAGCCGTGCCGCCTACGTCGTCCGCCCACCGTTGTCCCTGTCCGGTGTCCGCCTCTGACCCTCTGCAGCTCTGGCCGCTCTGCGCCTCCCTCCAGGTAAACTCCAAGTCTCCAATTCTCCAAATTCAATCTCTGTTTTAGATTTTTTATTTTTGTTGTTGTTAGATTGTGAATGTGTTCTTCTCCAAATTCTATTTCTAAACTCCAATTGCCGACTTGAAGTTATAAGTTATTGTGTATTTGTGTATTAATCTATTATTATTTTTAGCATTTTAGAGTTTTAGGGTTAGGAAATCATTATGATTATTAATTGAATTTTTCAGTACATAATTAAATAGTGTATAACTCATTATAAATTTAGAATGATTAAAGATAGAATTAAAGACTAGAAAATGATTTACTTATTATACAATTGAAAATTGAGAATACTTATTACTTTTATGTACAAGTGTACAATGTTTGTTTTTTCCTTATCAATTATATTTTTTATATAAGTATTTTAATTTATACCAATATTGGAAATGTTTTTTCGTAATGGAATCTTTTGACATTAGACAAGATTGATGAGGGACAAGTTAAAAAAATATTTCAAGCATTTGACATAGAACTATAGCTCAAAATACCAGAAAACACAAGAGTGCATGTGAGAAGGAAAATATGAAACTTGAGCCTATACTCATCTTCAAATTACATAAAACTTATTCAGAAGGACTGAGGTGTTGAACAAAGTAAGATATGATATTGTACTAATTTTAGGTGTTAAAAGAAACTTTTAACGACAAATTTTTAAAGTCGTCGTTATATGGTGGTCGTTAAAAGCCATTTCTCTTGTAGTGATTGATGATCTACATTGAACAAGAATTTGTCAATAATATAGATGTAGATTCTATTATTGATGAATTTTATACTTTAAAGTCGCATATGGCACAACTTAAATGAGTTTTGATGAATATTTAAAGCTAGTGTTGACGACTTGACTTATTATTAATATGTGTATTCTAGTTTTTTCCCCTGCCCACTCCATCGTGACTTTCTCGATCCGCCTCTGGTCCCACTTAGACTAATTTTGCATATAGAATCGACTTTGGATGACTTTAATTACTCTTATATAGCTAATTAACTCAAAATGCAAAATTTTCTCCATGTGCATGTTATTATCAGGAAAGAATATAATCAAGTCTCTTTCCATTGATTTAACATTTCCTGAGTATGGTATGGAACTATGGATGATAGATCAGCAGTCTCAGATGTGAATGAGTTAACAAAGAAACGTAATTAACTTAAGCAATTGATAATTAAGATCTATCCAGCTTACGTACATTTGTCTTTGAACAATGAGTATAAGCACGTATCATGCGGCTGTCGTTCCCTACAAAGGCTGTGGTGAGCGATTTGGGTCCCATCAATTTGTGCCAAAGAAGAGCACTGCACACAACCAATTTGTGCCAAAGAATAAATATCCGGCCGGCCAGATCGAGCTGATATTATTAATTAAATTACTACTAGTAGTACATTTAATGAGCACTATATAACCGGTGGACGTAGCTCAACTGGTAACAAGGGAGTGCCACAAGGGTTAGGTCTCGGGTTCGAAACTCGACAACTGCGATGAGGGGTTACTATGCTAAAACTGCATAGGACTTCTGCAAGTATCGGGGACAAAGCTTCATTCTCTATCTGTCAGATTGGGATTATAGTACGTCCAATTTACATCCTTTCAATGTACCATCCGGTCGGGGTTGGGGGGCCCTCAGGGATGGGGTGTCATCCTTTTTTTTAATGAGCACTATATATGATTAAAAACCCAAGGCCCAGCCGGGCCGGGAACAACAAAAGAGCGGCCGAACGTACCTGTAGTAATCGGGATTTGGGAGGAAGGTAGTAGCGTCAAGTAAACCGTAGTTCCCTCCGATTAATGTCTGCCGGCAGTATGTTTTTGTGTCGTACAACGCCGACGTCCCGAGCTGGTCCAGGTACCTATATATACCGGCCGGCCATCAATTTCATTAAATGTTTATTCAGTTTGCTTTTAATATACGTAGTAATTGAACCACAAATTCTTTACGAAAAAGGGAAAATGGAAATATTAATTGAAACGGACGAAAAAGGAAAGTTGGAAATATTTATTATTTTCATTTAACGGAACATATACCCACTATATGCAAGAAAGTACAACAAAAGAAAGTAAGATTCGGCATTATTATATTCTTGGCATTAGTATGATTGCTTTCTTTCTCCCAATAGAGGAAGTTTTATACTCTCATTAAGTTTTGAACTGAAATATGATCTAATCTAGTGATTAGATTAGTTCTGGTCTAATCTAGTGATCTAGAATTGAAATTTTTTCAAGTAAAAACATCTAGTAGGATCAAATAAGTCTTATTTCGCGAATAAAATACATGTAGTCCGATCCTATTTCTAATATAGACCGTGTATCTTGAGCCATTCATAATTCATTCCTTTAATTTTAACTTACCAGAAACTATTAACGAATGTGTTCGACGCGTTCGGCGCGCCGCTGTTGTACGCCCCTCCAGATTCGCCCACCCAACCAACGACTTTGTGCCCCCGGGGGGAATTATAGTTTTTGAGAAGATCATTTATCGGAATGAAGTCCTTGATTGCTGAACCATAATATACCATTTTCAGGATTGTGTCTGCGATGTTTTTACTGCTCCCTGTACGTATAGTATATATGTATTATAGCCGGCAATAAAGAAAGATCCATAAAATATATCACCGGTAAATGAGAGAATTCCCTGAATAAGAGTAAAAAAGTATCAAAATTTCAAACTTTCCTCAATAAAAGTAAATTTCTGTCAAGTTTGACATTACCCGCCTTTAGGCATGATAATTTTCCCAAATCTTGACAGAATTACTCCTATTTAGGGAATAAAAACATTAAAGTCCTATTTTGGGATTTCAAAACGTTTTTACTCCTATTTAAGACAATTTCTATATTAGAGAATTCCCCAAATAGGAGCAAAACATAGGCAAAATGCAAAAATAGGAGTATCATATTTTGAATAAGAGTAACTTTAGTGTTTGGACAAGTATACCCCTACCCAAGCCCTAAGTCCCAACAACTTTTAATTAAATGTTTAATTCATAATAAATTCGAAAAAAAATCAAAAATTCGTAGAAAAATAATTAAAAAAATTATAAAGTATTAATAAAATAAAAAATTTAATTTTTTTTTAAATTTTTTAGTTTTTTTAAAAATTAATAAAAAGTAGTAAAATTCCATAAAAAAATTAAAAAAATATGGATGTCTTTCCCACCGCCTGTACTACCTTCCTACACCACCACCTCCGGGCGGTGAAAAAAATTCCATTTTCCCTAAAATCTGTCATTTTTTCTGAAAATGCAAAAAATATGGCATATTTCTCTTTGCGAATACCAACATTTTCATTATTTTTTGCCATAAATATGGCATTCGTAATGAACTTGGCATTTTCCCCCTGGTGGCTGGAGGTGGTGGTGCAGAGGCGGCTGTGAATTTTATTTTATTTTTTTGAGTTTTTTATTTTTTAAAAAAATATACTCCCTCCGTCCCAATTTGTAAGATACTTTACGGTTTACGATGTTTGATCGACGATAAAGTAAATTGATCTCTGTCAACACTCAAATTTGTTTTGGAAAATAAAATTTACATATTCAGAAACTACATTAAAACCGCTACAAAAGCAGCAAAAAATAATTCAAATTTCATAAACTTTTAATAAATAAAGTAAAAGATTAAGAGTGATTTATGTTGACCGAGTGAATAGTAAATGTATCTTACAATTTGGGACTGAGGGAGTATTTTTTTATTTTTTGAAAAATAAATAAATAAATAAATTATTATTATCGAATAAGTCATAAATTAACTAGGTTAAGATTAAATAAGTCATATTTTAGAATTAACTAGGTTAGGGATATTAAGGGTACAAAATTAATGTTTACTCCTATTGAAGGAAGTTTTAAGTTATACTCCTATTTTTGCAATTATGTTTATGTTTACTCTTATATTGGACACTTTCTATTTCTATATTTCACATTGAAGTGTGGCCCATAAAGTAATAATATAATTTTGAAAACACTTCCTCCGTCCCTCAATACTTTGCCAAGTTTGACCAGCACGGGAAATAATAAAGTAAAAACTATGCGGTTGAGATATGTGCAGATGAGAGAGAAATAACATGAACCACAAATTAATGGGTTAATGATCAAAATAGGACTAAAAGTCACCCACTTTGCACAAATAGGACAAAAATAAACTATGTTTTCATAGGAGTAATTATGTGTGTCTTGGACAAATATACCCTTATATCTATTGAAATGTTTTAATTCATAATAAAATAATAAAAATAAAAAAAATCGTAAAAAATACTAAAAAAATTATTAAAAAATATTTCGATATTAATAATTTATTTTTTAATTTTTTTTCAAAACATAAAAAAATACTTCCTCCGGATCTTTTTAAACTTCACAGTTTGATTTCACATTGATTAAGAAAATAAATTTGACTTTACTGTAGAGTACACTGTTGAGACACTGTTTGGCACTGTTTGGCACTATTGAGACACTGTTTCGCACTGTTGAGGAAGTGTTTGGCACTTTTTAACACTGTTTTGATGTAGATTTCTTTGCCAAATAAGGAAATAAGGAAGTGTGAAGTTTATTTTGGACCGTCCCAAAAAGGAAAGCGTGAAGTTTAAAAAGATCCGGAGGGAATAACAAAAATTTAAAAAAAATAAAAAACTCAAAAAAATAATATAAAATTCACCACCGCCTCTGTCGCCTCTGCACCACCACCTCCAGCCACCAGGGGGAAAATGCCAAGTTCATTACGAATTCCATATTTATGGCAGAAAACAATGCAAATGTTGGCATTCCATATTTATGCCATATTTTTGGCATTTTCAGAAAAAAACGGTAGTTTTTAGGGAAAATGACATTTTTTCACCGGCCGGAGATGGTGGTGCAGGGAGGTAGTACAGGCGGTGGGAAAGGCATCCATATTTTTTTTTATGGAGTTTTACTATTTTTTATTATTTTAAAACAAAATAAAAAAACTAATTTTTTTTTAGTTTTTTATTTTATAAATTTTTTATAAATTTTTTAAATATTTTTCTACGAATTTTTGAATTTTTTTCGAACTTATTATAAATTAAACATTTAATTAACTTATATTTAAAGGAAGGGTAAGAATGGAATGAAAAAATAGGTATGTTTCCAATATGACAAATATGGTCCTATTTTGAAAAGAAAAACATAGTAAGTCCTATTTTGAGTTTTTGGCATAGTTTTAGTCTTTTTTGGAGTAATTTCAACAAATTAATTAACTAAAAGGGAAAGTCATAAAGTTTTTGGGACATCTTAAAAAGTAAAGATAGATGAAATTATAAGGGATGAAGGAGTAATGGTTAGTTTTTGGGATATCACAAAGTTTTTGGTCTGAGTTAATCCAGGTTCTTGTGATTCTTGCAGGTTCATTTTTTAGTTTATCGTACCCTAGCCTGTTTATTTCTATTTTTAGAACAAGAAAGCAGTTGTGATTGTATTCATACACCTGTGAGTTGTATTTGATGAGGAATATTACTCCCGCAATTAAGTTACCACTTTCCTTTTTGGGCAGTCGCTAGATTAAGTTCACACTTCCTTACTTTCCTTATTTGGCTAATTATCTACATCAAAACAGTGTCAAACAGTGTTTGAACAGTGCAAAACAGTGCACTTCGCAGTAAAGTCAAATTTATTTTCTTAATATGTGTGAAGTCAAACAGATAACTTGTTTCGGGGACGGAGGGAGTATTAAATACGGAACTGGAAAAAAAGATACCTTCGCCAAGATTATATATGTGTTGAGTAATGACGTCCAGAGTGTCGTTGGTTTTACTTAGATACTCTTTGAACCACTGTGCATCAAAGAACCCTCCAGGTGCTATGACTAGCGGCTTGTAAGTTTTAGGGTAAATCTTTTGGATTATGCCGTGAAAACGGATGGTGTCTTTAGCATACTGATCTGCAGATATCTGTACCCCTATTGCGCCTTTTCCAACCAACTCATTCCCTGATTATCGAACCATGCATGCCCAAAAAAGCAACAAATCTTAGCTTAGCTTATTTAATACATATGCCTTAGCAGCTTATATCTCATCATATTCAGCATACAGCTAGCTAGCTAGCAGTACGTATAATATTCATCATTACCCAATTCCCAAGCGATGATAGGATATTTCTTGTGGGCAGAATATCGAATGAGAAACTCAGCATTCGTTGAATTCCAGTCACCCGTAGCAGAACCGCCCTTTATGTGTCTTCCATGTAGAGCATTCAAGCCAAAAATGATAGCAGCACTGAATAACGGTTCATAATCACAGTTAGTAATGATCAGGGGCGGACCCATGAAAGTCATTTTGGGGGGCGAAAATATTTTTAGGGGTTCAAAATACTTTTTGGAAGAGCAAAAATTATTTTTCATATATATATACACTAAAAACAAATTTGTTGGGGGCGGTAACCCCCTTGGGTCTCTACTACGGTCCGCCCATGGTAATGATGGCCTCAATTAGCTTATACAATATATTGATGATCAAAGTTGGCCGGCCGGGCATCGAAAAGTATAACGATTACCCTGATTCCATGAAGAAGTGATTTAGTTCATCCCATCTCGACAAAGGTAGGCACCCTTCTGTGAACTGAAATAATTCCGTGCGGGAGTTGTAATACCGAAATGGCTTGCATGTTTCATTAACACTCGTTTGGTAGACGACCTTATTTTGTAATGTACCACCCAACCGAATTTTTAAAGGAGAGAATGCTGCAAAGATTATATAATTAATACCCATCATTAATCTCGTCAAATCTCCCGTTAATTCCAATTCAAATTATATTGATGCATTTTGTCATCTTAGACGCATTTAAATGTTTCACAACGCCCGTGAAAAGTTCTGCAAATGTATTTAAAATGTATTTAAACTCCTCTCATTTTAAATTTTCAAAATATGAATTTCGTAATTTTTTTACTAATAAGGATTTAAAGACATTAATGGTCAAACTTGTGCATCGACAAGCGTGAAAAGTAGACTGTTACAATTTAAAAAGAATGGAGGATTTAAACAAAAACGTTGCCTACCTTTTATTGCCTTTGAAAGAGTAGGATGACTGATCAGATCCTGCACGCAAGCCAGAGACAAAAAAGAAACACATTGATAAGAAGATCACTTATAATGGATGGAAATTTTCAAACCATATTGATTGTTTTAGAAAAGAATTGAAGGGGGGAATTAAAGGATCAATTCGTGAAGAAATACATCAGGTATTTGGAAGAAAATATAAATTTATGATTAAAATAAAAGTTGTATAAAAATGTAACCAATTAAGCTGTGCAATTATTATAAGATTTCAAGTTCAATTTTTACTTTTAAATAAATCATGATATTATATTTAAATTTAACTTTAGTCATACTTCATAAATATGGAGTAAGTTTTTTGGTTCAGTAATATTTTTGAATTAATATAAATAATAATATTGTAGGGAAAACTGTCAAATAGGTCCTCGAACTTTCATACAAAGTCAATTAAGCTCTTCTATAGGAGACTATGTCTGGTCGTCGCGATTTGGGGTGGTTCCCGGTGGAATTTTTTGATGAAATTTTTTGAGCATCTTATTCGTCAAGTCTAGTTTACTCATACCAAATTTCAGCTAAAAATTTAATCAGGAGCGCATTCAAATTAATTCGAGAACGCAAAAATGCGCAATTATCTTCAAGAATTAATTTGAATGTGTTCCCGATTGAAGTTTTAGCTGAAATTTGGTATGAGTAAACTAGATTTGGTGAATAAGATGCTCAAAAAATTTGATCAAAAAATTTCACTGGGAACTGCCCCAAATCGCGACGGCCGGACAGAACCTCCTATAGAAGGACTTGATTGACCTTTTAATGAAAGTTCTATGACCTATTTGACAATTTTATCTAATATTGTATGTAGTATTTATTTTTTTTGAAAGAAAAATAATAATACTACGTATTATATTAATAAATCATAATAAAAGCTTAATGTCATTAAAAAGGGTTATACTCGGTACATATTGTTCTAAATCTTGGGACCCTGGCTAAGCTATCTCGGAGGAAGGTGCGCAAAGCCTATTTTAGCGGTCAAAATCTCTCGCTACCGTGGCAAATCATACCGTGAAATCGGCCCACCATCCGCATGGTGTGCCGATCCCAGTTTTACAAGTTACGTTCCTTTTTATTCTTCCTTGGAACTTCTTCATTCCTTTTTCTTTTGTTATTCTTTCCTTATTTTTCTTTTCTTTAATCCTTCTCCATTCCCATCAAATTAAAATATTAAAAATTTAATTGTAATTTTACTTTCCTTATCTTCAATTTAAATTATAATTGAATCTATTTTTTAATTCCTTATCAACACATAACAAAAAGTTTAATAATCTAAATAAAATAAGTACATTACATTTCATATTCATACACTATTTTTTGTAATATCTTTTATACATTCAAACAATTTTTTGTAATATATTTTTATATGCATACACTTTTTCTATAATATATTTTTTTATCACTTTTATATGTTTTTAGAGGTTTTTAAGATATTGAGTTTGTTTATTTTGCTTCTAGCTTGGAGTTACATTTGATAATATACGAAGTTACATCATCTTATACTCCAGTTACAAGTTATTATGCGTGAGTTACAACTTGTTATGTGTGAGTTACATCTTCTTATACACGAGTTACATACTTTTATTCGCGAGTTACATGTAATTATGTGTGAGTTATATCTAATTATTTGTGATTTTTTACTTATCTTTATTTTGAACTAATTCAATTATAACTGAATTAATTTTTTTCTTTACCAATCTAATACATAATTTTATTAAACCACATAAAATAAGTATATTGTATTTCATATTCATACACTATTTCTTACTTTGTATACTTTTTTTTTATATTTATTATAAAAAATAATAAAATATTCCTAAACTCAAAATAAAAAAAACACAAGTATATTGTATTTCATATTCATACACTTTTTTTGTAAAATATTTTTTATATTCATATACTTTTTTCTATAATATATTTCTTATCTCTTTTATATGTTTTTTGTGTTTTATAGTCATTAAGATTGTTTATTTCGATTTAAATTTGAAAAAAACATGAGAATAATGCATTTTTCGTATGTGTGAGTTATGTTTATAGACTATTTCTATAATTACATTTGATATTATATGGAGTTACATCTTCTTATGCACGATTTACATCTTCTTGTGCGTGAGTTGCATCTTTCCATACGTGAGTTACATTTGAGTTTGCCTCAACAAGTTACATTTTGCACACACTAAAGTTAGATTTTCAATCAACGCGGATTACATTTTCTGTAATATGAATCACATCACAACATAAAGCCTACTATTGCAACAAAAGAATCATTGTTATGCAAAAAATATGTTTTCCAAAAAAATGTGTTTTGGCACAAAATATATTTTTAAAAACATTTTTATGGACTTAATATTAAAAAAAAAATATTCAACATTTATGTTAACCCCTGCTATTGAATAAAAAAATACATTTTTTTGCAAAAAAAAATGAGTTTTTGGCCAAAAAAATGATTTTTGATTTGGCAAAAAAAGGTAAAAAAAATTATGTCCTTAATATTGAAAACAAAACATATAAACTATTTAAGTAAAGTAATTGAGCAATTAGACTCCTTGTTTTCATTAAAATCAATGTTTTATTTCTTATAATTCGTATTAGACAAGTTACATTTTAACTTGCTTGTTGTTACATTTCTTATTAGCGTGAGTTACATTTTGTTACACGCGAGTTACACCTATTCCGCTACTGGGACAATGAAAAAACAAAAATGAAGTTACTGTTCACGCGCGTGAACAGTAACACACTTTTTTTTTGTGGGAGAAGCATATCATGCTCACCGTGGGCTGCACGGTATACGAACTGAGCTACCGCCTAGGCCGTCCATGATTGGTCCATTTTAATACTTTTCTATGTGTTATTTTTTATTCAGAGAAATTTTTTACCTTTGACTCTAGCAAATTAGCTATTTCAACGTTCAATTTAACCGCAGCAACGTTTTTTAAAACAAAAAAAATATGATGAGATCGAGTTCATGGCCCTCAAATGTTTAATTTTAAGTTCCTAAAACCGGAGGTTTTTAACGATAATGAACTCTAATCTCATTTTATTTTTTCGAGAAATTCCACTAAAATTGTCTCATACCAAATTTGGTATCTCATTTCTCCTCCTCTTGTCCCGATGTTAGTGAGATAAGGATAGTAAATCATAGTTTAAATTTAATTTAAAATGAATATTAGTTCAACTATTTAAATCATAGCAATTATTCTTATTTAGGGAATAAAAAACATGACAGTCTTATTTTGGAATTTTAAAACTGTTTTAGTCCTATTTCGGAAACTTTCTCTTTTAGTTATAATTATAATTTCTTCATAAATTCTCCTTTTCAAAACTCATTACTCCGAAATAAGAATAATAGTTTCCTCCAATCTCTTTTATCTTCCTCCTCCAACAATTTACCTTCAAAATCTTCGTATCGCATTCCCCCAAATTTCCCAACATACCCTAAAATACTTTCAAAAGCTTCTTCTCCCCTACTCGCGGAATTCCCCAAAGTAACATACCCTAAAGGTAGTAGTTGGGTTACAAAGAGATATTCGCACGGGTAGCTCAGTTGGTCGAGTGGTGGGAGATTTGGAATAATGGACCAAGGTTCGAATCCCCGCAGCGACCGGGTGGAGGTCACAGAACCTGAAATAAGGTTGGGCCTCTGGTGCGCACGGGTGTATGAACCTACTGCCATTCTGCTGACTGAGTCATCGTGACTAACCTCCCCACCATACTGTCGGGTCGGGGTGGGGGCTCCTGGGGTGAGAGATTCCACCTTTCGGAACAATGGGTTGCAAAGAGATGGAAGACGTACCAAGTTTAGGAGAGAAGCATTGGCCCAAGGACAATTAATGTCACACTTAGAGTTAGGCCACCAATCCAAGGTAGCACATATGAAATCTTTGTCCGTTGTTCCAGCGGCACTGTCACTAACCACATATACAGTCCCATTCCATTTAACGCCATCTACAACCAGAGTTCCATATCCAGAAACCAACACCGCCCATATTGCCCACAAAATAACCCATGAATCACCCATTCTCATATTTCTAATCGATGACTCCAAATAAACTACACCCACATCTATTTATAATTATATAGGATTTGTAACTTGTAAGCTGGAGAAAGTTACTTTGCAAAAGTGACTGGCTGGCATCCCCTGAATCCCGGCGAACTTGCCATTACAGCTAGGTTTTACACACAGAAGAAAATAAAAGGATTTTTTTCTGGTCAAACATAAACAAAATTGTGAAAAAGGAGCAAGTATATTTTCAGTCTCAAGATAGAACATCTTCACTCCTATTAAATAAAAGAATATAGAGCCCTGTAACACTCAAATCAACAGATTCTGCTGAAATTTATGAAATTCTTACAGAAGTGACCGTATGCGTTGATTCTGCTGATATATGAAAAAATTATATTTAAAATATAAATTATTAATAAAATAAATAAAAAATATATGAAAAAATAGCTACAATGATCATCTACAAAAAATTCAGCCAATATAACCAGAAAAGTAACTCCAACCTTACTTTTTCTTATTATTACACAATTCGACGTGTGAAATCAAAAGTTAAAAAAGTTGGTTGATAAGTCTGATAAGCTGAAAAACAGAGTCACCAAACGAGCTCATAATTTGAGAATTTAAAAAAAATAGTTAAATGAAACTTATTTATAAAGTTATGATTAATAGTTACTACACTATAGTCTCATAGTCACTTACAAAACCGTCCATAAACGGGAGGCACCTAGGCAAATGCCTGGAGCACCACAAATGTGTAGGGCACCATTAAGAAATCTAAGAGTTCTAAAAAATAGTTAAAATGTCCATAGATAATACCTATATAATTATTACTATCCAGTATCCACTTAACTGAGGTTTGACAAAAAAAATAGTTGATAGAGTATTAACTCCTAGAGAAAAGGGAGAGCTAGAGAGAGAAGTGATATGTATTAATGAATTTCCAATCATTTTATTTTGGATCTGGATCCTTTACAATGAAGAATTGGCTTGCTATTTATAGCAGCCATAAATGCTAGGTGTAATTCATGCGGGTACACGTGTCAAACGATCAACAGTGGAGGGTTGACTCAACCAGGGTGGTGCCAACATAGCATGTGACACCGCATTTAATGCGGTGGTTGGATGTGACACCGCATTTAATGCGGCGATCTGGAGCGTGCAGGGAGGAGATCTTGTCGGGGTAGTGCTGAAGGTCGTACGTCCCCGGGGGACCCTTATGTGCTGAAGGCCGTACGTCCCAGGGGTTTCAATGTGCTGAAGGCCTTACGTCCCCGGGGTCTTCCATGTGCCGAAAGCCGTACGTAGCCGGGGGACCGTTATGTGCTGAAGGCCGTACGTCCCTGGGACAATCATGTGCTGAAGGTCGTACGTACCCCCAGGGGTCTTCATGTGTCGAAGGCCGTATGTCCGCAGGGGCTGTCCGGAGTCTTGTTTGCTGTGTTTGGGCCACTTGGGCATGTTCGTAGTAGTGGAAGTATGTGGGCCGAAGGTTCCTGGGCCATACACTCCATCAGGAATCCCCCACTCTCTAAGTTGAGACGCAGACGAAGTGAAAGGGAGTAGATCCGTGTTGCCTTGATGCTTTAGGCCGACAGAGGATTACCTGGCTGAGGCGGTGCCATATTTGTTGGCTGCCCTGTCCTTCATTTCGAGGACGATGAATGTCCTTCATTTCGAGGACGTTGAATGTCATTCATTTCGAGGACGATGGGGGTCCTAGACCAGAGGATGTTGTGCGCCCTTGGTTTTGTGGACGAAGAAAGTCCTGCTTTGAAGACGATGCATGTCATTGGCCTTGAGGACGATGCATGTCATTGGCCTTGAGGACGATGCATGTCTCATTGGCCTTGAGGACGAGGAGTATCCTTGGCTTCGAGGACGATATTTGACTTTGATTTTGAGGATGATGTGTGTCCTTGACTTGGAGGATGATGTGTGTCCTTGATATTGAGGACGATGTGCGTCCTACTTTGCGCTTTAGCTTAGCCGAAGGTGGACGTTCATGGTGTCCTTGGCATTCTGGCCGACAGTGGATCGGGCCGGCTGTGATGTATGGATGTCAGCATTGACAGGCCGATCCAAAAGTTCGAGCAGCGGTCCTCATCCATAAAGTGAGAGGATGAGGCCGGTCTTCAAAGTATGATGATCATATATGTTGAGACCAAGGGTCTGCCGTGTCGATATAAAAGATCACGTTGAGAACGAGGGTCTGCCATGTCGATCTAAAAGATCACGTTGAGACGGAGGGTCTGCCGTGTCGATATAAAAGATCACGTTGAGATCGAGGGGTCTGCCGCGATATGAGGATGACGATCATGAGGAGCTGATCCGAATACTGACGACGAGGCAAAGATGTGTCGATCGTCATATAGAGGCGACGGTCGCTATCCGAGAAGGGAGTAGCGAGCCCACTCGCTAGCTCAAGACGCTCGGTGCTGGGAAAGCCGATCTTGAGATAACTAATCACGTCGAGGCCGAGGGGATGGTCGTGATCCGAGGACGTCGGCGCTGGTGGGCCGATTGTCGTAAAATATGATGTCGGGGCGATAATGAAGCCGACCGTTATATAGAGGCGACGGTCACCATCCTAAAAGGAGATGGCGAGCCCGGTCGCTAGATCAAGACTTCGGCGCTGATAAGGAGCCGGTCTTGATGTAGATGATCACGTTGAGACCGAGGGTGTAACACCCAGGCCCCGCAAGACCCGGGGTAGTTACTCCTGACCTCTAGTACTCACAAACCGCCAGTAGCCTTTTCCGTGCACTTTGTCCTCACTCGTGTGCACCCTGAGAAACTTTCTAGGGGGTCACCCATCCCAAGACCACTCCTGTGCAAGCACGCTTAACTTTGGAGTTCTTGGCTAATGAGCTCCCTTTAAAGGAGATGCACCTTGTTGCTATGAGTAGTACTATTAATCCATTTAAATTAAATCTCAAGTGTTACAATCACCCCCACTTAGGATCGCAACGTCCTCGTTGCGCCCTTGAGAATCTCAATCAAACCCCAGAATCTTGCCCCACTAAGTGCCCGCCAGATATCCAACGGGTCAGCACACTGTCGCAAGGTTGCTCTGATACCACTTGTAACACCCCGGCCCTGTAGGACCCTAGGTAGTTACTCCAGACCTCCCTCCGGACCTCTAGTACTATCCTCACAAACCATCACGAGCATTTACCGCACACTTTGTCCTCACTCGTGCGCGCCCTGAGAAACTTTCCAGAGGGTCACCTATCCCAAGATTACCCCTATGCAAGCACACTTAACTTTGGAGTTCTTGGGTGATGAGCTCCCTTAAAAGGAGATGCACCTCTGTTGGTATGAGTAGTACTATTAATCCGTTTAAATTAAATCTCAACTATTACAGAGGGGTTTGCCGTGATCTGAGGACGCCGGCGCTGATGAAGCCGGTCCCTTCAGATACAGGATCACGTCGAGTGCGAGAGGTCGTTCATGATATGAGGACGTCATCGTTGATGAAGTCGGTCCTTTGATGAACGGAAAGGCGTTGGACGCCCGTCCTTTGTTGACGACGGCGCTAATGGGGTCATTCGTCACCTAAAGGCGACGGTCGCCATCCTGGAAGGGATTGGCGTGCCCGCTCGCTAGCTCAAGACGCTCGGCGCTGAGAAGGCCGGTCTTGAGATGAAGGATCACGTTGAGACCGAGGGGTCTGCTGTGATCTGAGGACGTTGGCACTGATGAAGCCGGTCCTTTGATGGACAAGGCGTTGGACGCCCGTCCTTTGATAACGACGGCGCTAATGGAGCCATTCGTCACTTGAAGGAGAGGGTCACCATCCAGGAGGGGAATGGAGAGCTCACTCGCTAGCTCAAGACGCTCGACACCGAGGAGGCTGGTCTTGAGATGAAGGACAAGGCATTGGACGTTTGTCCAAAGTTGAGTACGATGGCGTTGATGAAGCTCGTCCTTTGATGACGACGATGCTGATGGGGCGGTTCGTCACCTGAAGGCGAGGGTCGCCATCCAGGAAGGGAATGGTGAGCCCGCTCGCTAGCTCAAGACGCTCGGCGCTGAGGAGGCCAGTCTTGAGATATAGAATCATGCCGAGGCCGAGGGGCCGTTCGTGATCCGAGGACGGCAATGCTGAGAAGCCGATCCAAACTATGATGACGAGGCAATGATGAAGCCGATCGTCATATAAAGGCGATGGTCGCTATCCGGGAAGGGAATAGCGAGCCCAATGGCTAGCTCAAGACTCTCAGCGCTGAGGAAGCCGGTCTTGAGATATATCATCACGTTGTAGCCGAGGGGTCTGCCGTGTCTTCATCATCAGGATCACGTTGAGACCAAGGGGTCTGCTGTGTATCTAGATAGAAGATTACGTTGAGATCAAGGGGGCTACCGCGATGTAGGAACGTCGGCACTGAGGAGCTGGTCCTAAGATGAAGAGAGGCGTTGGACGCCGTCTAAAGCTAAGGAAGACGGCGCTGATGAAGCCGGTCCTTTGATGAAGAACAAGGCGTTGGACGTTTGTCCAAAGTTGAGGACGACGGTGCTGATGACGCTTGTCTGAAGATGAGGGAAGGCGTTAGGCGCTCACGCGAGAATGAGGGACGGCGGAGCCGGTCCTATGATGCAGGACGACGTTGGACGCCTGTCTGATAATAATGGGCGACGTTGGACGTCCGTCTGAAGATGAAGGACGGCGTTGGATGCCTGTCTGATAATAATGGACGACGTTGGATGCTTGTCTGATCATGGATGGCGTTGGACGCTCGTCTGAAGATGCAGGACGGTGTCGTCGTCCTCAGATGACGACGGCGCTGATGAAGCCGTTCGTCATATGGAGGACCAATCTTTGGCGCTGGTCTGAAGATGAAGGACGGCGCTGGTGACGCTTGTCCTTCGAGGACGATGGCGCTGATGATGTTGGCCGTCATATGAAGGACCAAGCTTTGAAGCTGGTCCGAACATGAAGGACTGCGTTGGGGATGCTCATCCTTTGAGGACGACGGCGCTGATGATGTCGGCCGTCATATGACGGACCAAGCTTTGAAGCTGGTCTGAAGATGAAGGACTGCGTTAGGGACGCTTGTCTGATAATGGACGGCGTTGGACGTCCATCTCATGATGAAGGGCGGCGATGGACACTCGTCTGATTATGCAGTACGGCGTTGGACGCTCATCTGAAGATGAAGGACTACGTTGGGGACGCTCGTCCTTTGATGACAACGACGCTGATGAAGCCGTTCGTCATATGAAGGA